CCCCCAAAACCCCAAAACCCCAAAACCCCTCTAAAAATTAGTAATTGAACTATTATAAATCCCAAAAACAATGAAAAGCAAGAGAACTGTCAACAATTATTTCAGGAACAGAGGTAAAAGTATAACTGATCCTTCCTTCTCTTCCCACAAAAAGGACCTAAAAGGGAGGGATCCAAGCCCTTTTGCTGCAAAGAATGACCTAAAGGAGGCAAAGGTCATATCCTGAGATGATATTAGCACTATAAGTATTGAATGAGGTAAGGCACAGAGGTTTGGCACACTCAGGCTCTTTTTAGACATAGCTTTAACTCGAATTTTATAGAGAACCAATACAAAATTCCTGATGAAGACCAAGAGACTAATTCTTCAAAAGAGTTTCAAAGGACAGACACTAAATTCAAATTTAAAAGAGCCTCCAAACCTTCTAAAAATCCAAATTCAAAAGTTCGTGAGAGTATTCCGACTCGGTATGAGAAGAACTTGAAGAGGAGGAAGACTGATAGCGGTGTAGACGAGTCTGGGGACCATGAGGTTGTCATTCCCAGTACATCCCTACTTGAAGGCTCCAAACACAACAAGAATGCCGCCATTTTTGGGACTCAAAAAGAAGCTGATAATACAGTACCACAAAATGCTGGAAAACAAGTAACTTTCAGTGACGATGTCGGCATTATTTCAAGCAAAAGAGAGCAGAAGAGGAATTCTAAAGTTGGCACTGCTCAGGTTCTCGACTTGTTGTCCTACACAACACTGGGCATCATCAAGGAAACTCTTGATGAAAGACAAGGTGGGTCTAATGACACAACTAGTCTGGAGAAAAATGCAGAAATTAGTTCGGAATCCAATCAAAATCGCGAAAAAGGATCTAAAAGATTTGATCCAGTTGATTCAAATAATGGCAATCAGCTACCAAGAAAATCTCAAGAAGGAAATTCCAAATCCAGTGTTCTTGGAAAACTGAGCAATAAAACACTTGAGATCCTCAGGAAGGTCCAGAAGGAAAAGAAGAGAGAGGACAAAGACCAATGGATCTGAGAAAGGACCAAAACAAGTGGGGAAGTTCAAGCTGATAAGATTCTCAAGGGTTTTAGCATCAGTGAAAAATACGATGATCTTCTATCAGAAGCACCTCAAATTGTGATGCCTGTCCATTACAAGCTACTGATCAAGTTCTTTGCTGCACTCGATGATGCAGTCTTCTTCTTGAAGAAGAGAGGCAAAGTATGCGCATTTGAGGAAATAGCAGTATCAGTTGAAAGTAGCACCAAAAGAAGCTTCAACATGGCTAATTTCTGACAGATTTTAACAGTTTCCCCAGACTCGTTCATCTACGAATGGAAGGACCTGAAAGGATACAGAGGATACAGCTTGATCCTTGATGTTCCAGGAAGAAATCATGAAGTCCAGTCAGTGAGTCAAAAGCGGAAAGATGACTTCAGGAACAAACTTTTAGAAAAAGCCCTAGAATGACATCAAAAATTCCTCAATCAGATCATGATAAAAAGACCAGCATTGAAAGAGATACTCGAAGATTTTGATCCAATAAAGATGCGCGGGTGGTATCATGAGTTTGACCCTCACACCAGAGTTCCTCCAATAGAACCTAAGCAAATTGCCTCAAAGCCAAAATCTACAAAGCGGGGTGAGAGTGTTTCGGAGTTCATGAAGAGAAACAGGAGCATACAGAAGAAGTTTTCCCTTTCACATCTCTCAGGGAGCAGAGAGAGCTCTGTTGAAGCGAAAGAGGAAGTATTCCCCAATACTCTTTCCTCAGGTAAGAAAAAGTTCGAATTAAGTTTGGAGTCCAAATCAAGTACAAAAATTACTACGATCAAAGGAATCCCAATGGATCTATTCTCAAGAATTCAGTTGAAGGAGAAAGCCTCACAGGATGAGATACAAGAGAAGAATAATGAGTACAAACTGGATAAGCCAAAAATTGAGAGGGAAAGTCTAATGAGACTCATCGAATCCTTAAAATCAATTTATTCAGTCAGGAACTTGAACACCCTAGCTCTAAAGAAGGTACTTTCTGTTCTAGCAGACACCACAAGAGGTAAATTTGAGTCAACAGTGACCATAAATCAAAAGCTACAAGACTTATGCATGGCATCTCCTGATTGGCTAAAGATAGTCTCTACTCCAAGAGGAGAATTCATCAAAATGAAGCTAAATTACCCCAAGAAGAATGTCAAAGTTGACATTGAGAGGTACATCAAGCAGAAATACTCAGGACAAGAATAGATCAGGCTATTCTTCGACATTGGCATATCAGAAATATACAAGTTTTAAAATAGTCTAAGACATACTTCCACAAAAATCTTTCAGAAAATTAGGGATTTACGAATCAGTAGAAGTTATATAAATATTCGTGTCCAGGCAACAGGACAGGGAAGGTAGATAGCGTTCACTAGGTAGTTACATTAGGACTCCTCCTGTATATACTTCCACTAGGGCCATTCTTTTTGGGGTTTTGGGGTTTTGGGGTTTTGGGGTTTTGGGG